AGAGTTGGACAGATGACTTAGTGGTTAACAGGACTAACTGCTTTTCCAGAGGACCCAGGTTCAACTCCCAGAACCCATATGGCAGCTCGAAACTATTCGTAACTCCAGTTCCAGGGGATCTGACACCCTCATACCAATGCACATAAAATGTTAATAAAGTATTAAAAAATTAAAAAAAAAACAGGCACTGTGGCACATATCTTTAATCTCAGCTCTCGGGAAGCAGAGGCAGGCAGATCTCTGAGTGTGAGGCCACCATGGTCTACAAAGCAAATTCCAGGACAGCACGATGGTTACAGACAAATCCTGTCTCGAGAAACTTAAACAAACAAGTAAATAAAAAGATAAGAAAATTCAAGGTCAACTTCAGCTACATTGTGAGTTTGAGTTCAGCCTGACTACATCACAGTTATGACACATTAAGGGGTAGGAAGTACCAAAGTGATGCTGCCATGAACAGACCTTTCCATTGCGGGGTACCCAAGGCAGCATCCTGAGCTCAAGAACACAGCCCAGACTGCTCAGTATGTCAGCCCTGGGACAAATACAGCAATAGCAGTTATCTAGATACCTTTCCTGCAGAGGTACAATGCTCCCTCCGAATCTTACAGCCAAGGAAACTGAGGCACAGAGAGAATGGTCAATCTTCAAGGTAAGACTGAATGCTGCTTTTCTACCTTGAGATGGGCACCCAAAGAGGGCAGTCTCCTGTCTGATGCCAGGGTGGGGCTTTTATTTTTAGCCTGTCCTGTGGCCCAGGCCTTTAAGCAGCTCAGGAATGTGGCCAGATTCCCTGGGAAGTGAGAAGGGGTTTTCTTCTCCCTGAAGACTTGGCCTACCACTCCCACACCCTCACTCATCCCACTGCGCTGCCACCACCGAGCCTTCCAAAGACTTATTTATTATGTATAGTGTTCTGCCTGCATGTATGCCTGCACACCAGAAAAGGGCACCAGTTTCAGGTTGTCCTGGAACTCACACTGTAGACAAGGCTAGCCTTGAACTCACAGAGATCTGCCTGCCTCTGCCGCACAATGAGTGCTGGGACTAAAGGTGTGCGCCACCAACTCCTGGCATCTTTACAAGTTTTTAAAAAGTATATCTTGTGTATTTTCCTCTGCATCCACCCACAGGTGTTTACTGCTAACTGCACCCCAGGCCTGAAAATCAACTTCTGGGAGGACCAATGGAAATGGCAATGGTTGTGCACCCCTGAGCATACCCTAAAAGCCACTGATGTGTAGATAGGAGAACAATCAGTTTTGCAAATTGAGCATGATGGCACTCTAGAAGAGGCAAGAGGGTCAGGAGTTCAAGAGCAGCCTAGGCTACATGAGACCCTGCCTAAAACGGCTAACAGCAAAGGGCTAGTGGCGGCTCCAGCTCCAGGAGGACCGAAACCTCTGGCCTCTGCAGACACGGCACTCAATGCACGCCCCCCAAAACACACACAATATAAAAAGCAAGCAAGCAGTTGGCTAAGAAAGAAGGACAGAGCCTGCCCGGAAGGCAGCGCTGTGAGAGCCAGGGAGTGATCTAGGACGGCTTCTGCAGGTCAGGCTCCATCAAGCTCACTTGGTGTTTGTGGTCTCTTCCAGAGAAAGGGTCTCACTGTAGCCCCAGTTGTCCTGCCTCCCAAGTGTTGGGACTGAAGGCACGTGATAGCACCTGGTTCAGCTGACTTCTTGACAGGCTTTGAACAGGTTGTCAGGGCTGAGGGTTGGGAGCCCCTGCACTGGGGACATCTCTAACTCACAGCGCCAGGCCTACCTTCTCTGACACACCTGCTGTGCCCATCACTCCTGTCATCGTCTTGGGCTTGGGCCCTCTACAGCTGCCTGAGTGCTCAGTGACATGGCTCTGCGCTGGGCTATGTTTAACCCGGGGTGGGGATGCTCCCTACCTAGAAATAGCAGACACTGGTGTAGCCCACAGGGACAGTATGTGCCACTGCCCTGATCCATATGAACAGACTGGAGAACAGTGCAGACAGCAGCAAACACCAGTCTGTTGTGATGTTAGCCAGAATCGGGTGGGTGTGGCACTAAGGGAGGGCATGTCTCCCACCTGTGACTGACACCCCTATGCTGGGTGTGGGGTTTCCCTCCCCTGTTCCCAGTCTATCTGCCCACCTACCAAAGGTGGCATATTTTGAGGGGGTGAACTGGAATCTCACAGATAGCAGAGATTCACCCACTGAACCATCTCCTCTTGCATTAATCTTTCCTGTTTTTGTTTTTGTTTTTTTTTGGGGGGGGGTGTCTCTCTAGTAGCTCTGGATATCCTGGGATAGCCTGGCCTTGAATTCAGAGATCCACCTGCCTCTGACACCTGAGTGCTCAGATTAAAGGCATACACAACCACACCCTGACTTAAGTCTTTTTTTCTTTGTTTTTTGTTGTTTTGGTTTTTCGAGACAGGGTTTCTCTGTGTAGCTTTGGAGCCTATCCTGGCACTCGCTCTGGAGACCAGGCTGGTCTCGAACTCACAGAGATCCGCCTGCCTCTGCCGCCTCTGCCTCCGGAGTGCTGGGATTAAAGGTGTGTGCCTTTAATCCCAGCTACTTCTTAACCAATCACTGCAGCTGACTCACAGGCTATTGTGACTGGCTGCCAGGTATAAAAGTGACACAGAAAGAATAAAAAAAAAAAAAGTGACACAGGCCCGAGCACTTGGGGTGCAGTAGGGTTCAGGAAAAGCTCACTAGTATCACACACCAGGAGAGGGTTATCAGAGGGGAGGGGTCTTGAAGTATTCTGTTACCCCAGGATATGCTTGAACTCACTCTAGGATGGCCTCCAACTTGTGATCCTCCTGCCTCAGCCTCAAAAGTGCTGCGATGGCAGCTGTGCCACTAGGCATACTTGACGAGCACCCACCTTGCTTCCCACCCTTGGCCCGCCCACATTAAGTAACAGCTAGGCAGCTTTCTTCACAAACCTGCATTTAATCCATAGATATCAATGCCAAGACTCTCACAGGGGTCCCAGTTTGCCCTGAGCTTCGTTCAGCAGGGTGGGGCAGTGAGGCTCTGCCTAGTAAGGCCTAAGGCTTGTTTTGTACAGAGAACAACCTAACACTGCAATCACACACTGATGTCCTCACAGGACGGCTTATGTGGCTTCAAAGGCCAAGTGAAGGACGGGCCTCAGTACACTAGACTTTCTCCTTTTGCAGCTGGTTCCCACAGACAGGGGATATGCACCTGTTGACTTGGTGTGACCCAGGTTTAATCCCATTCACCGTGACAGGGACAAGAGCTGGCGGGGTCACAGGTTGGTGATGTTCAGGTAGTTGTTTGTGCTGGGGCTGCACTCAGGACCCCACATGGCAGCCTGGCTGGCAGCTCCCCACTGTCACCTATCTTAATCAGAAGCCCACTCCTGGCGGTTACTGGGGATACTATGGACTCCTCATGAAGACCTGGGGTCCAGTCCTCGAGAAGGAGAGACAGGGTAAGTGTGGCACCATTTATGAACCTGGTGGCTGGACCACCAGCCTGCCAGTCCTCACAGCTGCAGCCTGAAGTTGGGAGCCATGTCAGTCCAAACAGGGTGGGGCTGGAGGCAATGCTGTCTGCCTGGCTGTTGCTGTCACTCACTCTGACCCTTCTTGGGGACAGTTCTTTCTCTAACCAGCACAGGAGTGAGGAGGCTTCCCAGGACATCCGTCACAGATCTGTACTCACACACAGCTCATGCTACTCTCGGCTGTGACCACCACAAAGTCCTGGCAACTTCAAACTAAGTCAATAGAGTCCAACAAACAGAAACCAAGGGAAAAAAAGACAGCAAAAACATCAGAACGTGGGCTCCAAGCTGTTGCCCACTTGATTAGTAAACAACAAAAGAACTGCAAACAACTAGGTGGCAGGTGGCCCACTGCAGCAAGGAGCCAATGACTTCTGCCTCCACCTGTGTCGTGGGCACAGGACTCCAGACCCAGACAGACGCCACTGGGGAGGTCCTGGCACTCTTTTGCTTTGTCACAGAGAAAGGCCATCTTCCTACCACGTGACCCTGAAGGCTTCTAGAACCAACAGCGGGGCCCACTCCAATGACCCTCACTGCCTGCAGCCCAAGAGGACAGGGTGCTTTCGCTTGGAGTAGGCTAAAGTGCACGCAGGTGTCTGGGCCGGGCTCAGTGCAGCTGGATGAAGGCCTCCAGCTCCTCTGGGATGAATCCCTTATAAGGGACCTTGTTCCTGTCCAGGGCGCGGGCGGCCAGGCACTGCAGCGTCACATAGTTGAAGGGCTGCACGGTGCTCTTGGCCAGTAGCTTTGTGTCCAGCAGCTCATAGGCTGTCTTCTTGAAGGCATTGGTGGCATCCATGTGGGCCCCTGCTTCGATTAGCGCATCCATGATGGCCGGGCAGTTGTTTTGGGCAGCGATGTGCAGCGGAGTGTTGTTGTCGAAGTCCCGGCTGTCGGGGTCGGCCCCGCAGTCCAGCAGCACCTTGACCACGTGCAGCGAGGGGAAGACGCCCACTCGGTAGCGGCCCACATTGGTGGTCTCCTTGTCCACCGCCATGTGCAATGGGGTGAAGCCGTTCTTGCCGCGTGGGGCACACTTGAGCAGGCGGTAGACTGTCTGGTGTTTGAGATGTTCCTGGCTAGGGGTGCACTCCACCTTCTCCAGCAGGTACAGCAGGTGGAGGATGATGGCAATGGCTTTGGTGAACTGCGCAGAGTCGCCTGGCTCCTTGGGCAGCTGCAGAGCCCGCTCCACTTCCCGTACCCCTTTGCTGAGCACACCCATGAGGTCAGGGAAACCGAGCTGCATGCCCAGGTTGCCCTTAGCTGAGCAGTCCTGCAGCACGTAGGAGAAGAGCTCTGCAAATGACAGGAAGCTGCTGGCAGTCATGGGGCTCAGGGGCTCCAGGTTGCTCTGTTGCATGTCCAAGGCATACTTCCACAGACGGATACAGCGCTCGAAATTTCCAGAGTCCGCATAGACAGCACCCCGGTACCTTATGTAGTAGGATGTGTCAGGGTGCGAGGGACCCAGGATCCTCTCCCGTATCAGTAGGGCCTGCATCCGCATCTCATCGGGATCTGTGATGAGGGCCTCCAGCTCTTGGGGCGTGGTCACCTCCCTGGAATAGTCGTAGGCCAGAACCAGCTGTTGGGGCTGGGGCTTGGGGAGGTAGTCCCCACCCTGGTGTCGGAGTTCCATTGCCCTTCTCCAGTGCTTCAGGGCGCCAAGCAGATCCCTTTTCTTATCCACGTAGGTGGCTCCCAGCAGCTCCAAAGCCTCCACGGCCGCCTCCCTGCTGGTGGGGCAGCAACTCTCATAAGGTTCTGCTTCCTCCGGGGTGGAACAGACACCGCCTGACCCCTGAGGGGAGCCTTCCCCGGACAGCTCTGCCCCTGGGAGCTGCCCGTGGCCGGGCTGCTCCTGGATGAGGTACTCCACAATGTTGGTGTGCCCGGTGACACTGGCGGCCAGCAGCGGGGTCATGCCGTAGCCGTCGCGCTCCATGCGCGCGTGACAGCCCAGCAGCAGCTGCAGGATCTCCAGGCTGCCGGACTCGGCGCAGTCGTGCAGCGCCGTGTTGCCCTTGGCGCTGCGCCGGTTCACCTGCGCCCCGCGCTCCAGCAGGTAGCGCGCGATCTCACGGTGGCCCTTGTAGCACGAGATCATGAGGCACGTGTGGCCGTGGCGATTGGCTACCTCCAGGTCGGCCTTGTGCTCGCCCACCAGGTAGCGCACCACATCCAGGTGGCCGTCGAAGCAGGCGGCGCGCAGCGGCGTCGAGTTGGTGCGCGTGGTGCGGTTGACCGAGGCGCCTCG